GCTTAATTGTATATGCTATGTGTGCCACGCTCTGTAGCATTGGCATAGACACCATCGAAGTTTACCGAACACTGGATATTCTGCACACTTCGCGCTTCTTCGGAAATTGCGCATTTCTTTGTAAAACGGATCCGGATATTTTTTTAAAAACGGGAGATGCGTTCTGGACATTTTGACCTTTGCAGCTGTGTAAAAATGTTAAGAAGCGACCAAGAATCAGGGGAGTTACAAGTAACTGAATGTCTTAGTGTTTACCTCAAATAGTTTTTGAATATATAATGATCAACTTTGAAACGATATTTCTCGCTGTTGCGGATTTTGCGGAAGGTTTCCAATATTTTTTCGGAGAGAGCATATCGCTGCGCTTTGAACGATCATACTTCTTTGTGTGTTACCCGTTTTGTTTTCGTGTTCCGGGATGCCGAAACATGGGATAGCTAGTGTCATGTATATGATATCTCTCAGCGTATCAGCGTGATCCGGTTGTTGGCTACTTCTAAAATTGCAAACAACAATTTTGTTTCTCAACTTATGTAACATTTATTTCAAGGTAATTTTGTTTGCATCATAAAAAATCTGTGTGCGTTAGTGATTTGTCATTTAGGGTTTAGAGGGCATACTGAACTGATGCTAATGATATCAAGTTTATTAACATTCTTCATGTAGCTATATACTTGTACTGTAATGTGGATCAGGCAGGATTTGCAACACAACTACTATAAAATATGTATTAAAAGCCGCATCCCTAATAGAAGCCGCACCCATTCTTTTTGAACAATTTGAGAACCAAAAATTCATCATTTCTCATATGTGTAGATGCTCTAATAAAAGCTGCATCCCCTCTATTACATGGTACCATTTCAATAGAAGTCGCAGCTTCTAATACAGATTTTACGGTACATGTATGCACTAGACCGGTGGACAATGCTAGCACTGTCAAAACCAAATTTTCAAAAATGACAGAGACAGGGAGCTTTTTCAAGTGAGGTTACAATTTGTTTTGGTGCAAGCGTGCAGTGACTGGTTGAACCAGTTGTTCCCACATCAGGGTATAAGAATTTGGTTGTTCGCTGTTATTGGTATATATGTACATGTATGTG